GATGCCCAACAGACAGCAGGTAGGAAAGAGAAAAGAACCAGTAATCGAACCATGTGTGTGTCCCCACCATTAACTGACCTTACTCATTTTACACTAAGAGCACACAAGTGCAGAAAGTACAAATGCTTTGCCCCAAGTCACTGCACAAGTGCAACAAGTTAGGAGAATTCCTGTTCAAGAGCAGCGAGCTCTAAGCCCATACTCTTCCCGTTGTGGCTTTCTATGAGCCAGCATGTCCAGCGATTGCAAGCAGCTCCCCACGTGAGAGCCATCTCTATCACCTAGTGCATCTTCTGGGGATATACCAGGAAGCCGGTGGAAATGCAGTGTAGTAGGCTGGAGAACAGTCCCTGAAGATATCAGGTGCTAATCCTTGAAACCTGGAATCATTACCTGATAAGAAAAATTGATCTTTGCAGTTGTGATTAAGTAAAGGATCTCAAGACGGGGAGATTACTGTGGGTTGTCTGAGTAGACCATAAATGCAATCCCAAGTGTCCTTATGAGAGAGAGCCAGGGGAGATAATGACACACAGTCAGGGAGGGCAATGTGATCACGACCTGCAGAGATTGGGATGATGCCATCAAGGCAAAGAATACTGCAGCCACCAGAGTTGGAAGATGCAAGACAGAGACTAGATTCTCCCCTGGCAGCCCCCAGAAGGAGTGCAGTCCTGCTGGCACCTTGGTTTTGGTCCAGCGAAACTGATTTCAAACCTCTGGCCTTCAGCACTGTGAGGGAATCAGTTTCTGCTGTTTTAAGTCACTACGTGTGTACTAATTTGTTACAGCCACCACCAGAAACTAATCCCTGCTGATTCCAAGGACACATGCCCAGAGTGGGATTTAGTAAGTCTGGTTTTTTTTTTTTTTTTTTTTTTTTTAGTTAAAGTCTCACTCCATTGCCCAAGCCGGAGCGAAGTGGGATGCTCACAACCACCCCAGCATCGACCTGCTGGACTCAGGAGATCCTTCCACCTCAGCCTTCCAAGTAGCTGGAACCACAGGCATGCACTACCACACTCGGCTAATTTTTTTATTTATTGTAAAGATGATGTCTCGCCAAGTTGCCCAAGCTGGTCTTGAACCTGTGGGCTCAGGCAATCCTCTCACCTCGGCCTTCCAAAGTGCTGGGATTACAGGCTTGAACCATTGCACCCAGCCATATGTCTGTTTTTGACAGGCAGTCATTGTGGTTCTGATACCCATGATCTGTGGACCACACCGTCCCAACTGCTCAGACAGGGACCCATAGGAAAGGAATTAATCCCTTGAGCTAGGGGCTTTTTCGTCTGGGCTCTATTCCTCCTGGAGATCCATAGTCGAATTTCAGAGAAGTTCATAAATGTCTTAAAACGATATGAGAAATTGTGGTGTGTGCGCACATCCATATTTTTCAAGGATGAGGTTTTTTCCTTCAGATTCTCAAAGGAGTCATAGAAAAAGTTAAGAACTAACTACTCCTCCTAGAACAAACTGTTGAAGTATGTAAACCTGGCCCAGCATAGAAGGGGAAAAATGAAGAAGTGTTTAAATGAGGCCCAGCCTCTGAGGGCCCAAGCTGAGCCTGACGGGGAGGGAAGTCATGACAGAGTGAATCAAATGGAGAGTGGTATCTTCAAGTCACTACACAATTAAGCACACAGGTAGTCTTGCCCTCGGGCCTGGTGACAGAGTGACACAAGTCTGGGTGGGCCATTTCCCTACCTTAGCAAGATACTTAATGAATAGATTATCTTTGGGGAACAGTCAGTAGACAACCTCCCCAGAGGAGCCAGGATCTAGGCAATCACAGATCAGTATCTAAGGGAGATAAAGCCACTGATAAGCTCATAGGACAGACACCAGAAGCCCCAAGGACAGAGAAGGCAGGGATTTCAGCCTGGGTGCCTTTAACCATTCCTTTAAGCTAAGAAGACACTGTGGGTGCTTATTATTCATAGACTATGAGATATTTGAGTGTTTTTTTAAATTTAACCCTTGAATTGCTATTCATTTTATATCACATCATCTTAATCATTTTAATGTTGGCCCCTTTTGGTGAATAACATTTTAATTTTCTTGACCAGTTGCTTGTTTTTTTTGTTTTTGTTTTTGTTTTTGAGTTGGAGTCTCACTCCGTCGCCCAGACTGGAGTGCAGTGGCCGCTCTCGGCCACCACAGCCTCGACCTGCTGGGCTCTGGCGATCTTTCTGCCTCAGCCTTCCAAGCAGCTGGAACTACAGGCGCGCGCTATCACGCCCCGCTAATTTTTTTATTTATTGTAGAGATGAGGTCTTGCCAAGTTGCCCAGGTGGGTCTCGAACCCGTGGGTTCAGGCCATTCACTCACCTCAGCCTCTCAAAGCGTGAGATTACAGGCTGAACCACCGAGCCCAGTCAGCTGCTTGTTTAATTTCTCTCTCTCTCTCTCTCCTAATGGACTATACGCTCCAGGAAGGTAGGGGGCCATGACTGTTGTCGGCAATGTGTCCCAGCTCCAAGTACAACACTTGTCAGTCCGTATGAGCTGTTATAACAAAATATCTTAGGCTGGGTGGCTTATAAACAACATAAATTTATTTTTCACAGTTCTGGAAGCTTAAGAAGGTCAAGATCAAGGCACCAGCAGATTTGGTGTCTGGTCAGGGCCTGCTTTCTGGTTCTTGCTGTGTCCCTACCCTCATGACCCAGTCAATCACCTCCTAAAAGTTCGACTTCCTCAAACTGCCAGATTGGTTTCAATGTTTGGAATTGAGGGGACACAAACATTCAGAATGTAGTAATGCCTGACATAAAGTGTTTAATTTCTCCTGCCAATGGTCATAACTTTTAAAAATAAATGAACAGTAAAGTAGGGTAGCCACTTTGGAAAACTGTCTGGCAGTTCCTCAAGATGTTAAACATAGTTAACGTAGGACCTGGCAATTCCACTCCCAAGAGAACTGGAAACCTCTGTCCACAAAAACTTGTACAGAAATGTTCTTATCAGCGTTATTCATAATAGCCAAGCTGCAGATGGTGGCTCACGCCTGTAATCCCAGCACTTTGGGAGGCCAAGATGAGAGGATTGCTTGAGCCCAGGAGTCTGAGACCAGCCTGGTCAACATAGAGACCTCGTCTCTACAGAGAATTAAAAAATTAGCTGGGTGTGGTGGTGGTGGTTCCTGCTGTCCTAGTTACTCAGGAAGTCAAGGTAGAAGGATTGCCTGAACTCAGGAGGTTGAGGCTGAGATGAGCCATGATTGTGCCACTGAACACTAGCCTGGGCAACAGAATGAGAACTTGACTTAAAATAACAACAACAACGTAATAACCAAAAGTTGGAAACAACCTAAATGGCCATCGACTGATGAATGGATAAATAAAAGGTGGTACAGCCATGCGATGTGTTACTCGCCCACCATGAAAAAGAAATGAAGTAATGATGCATGCTACAACATAGATGAACCTTAAAAAGTTATGCTGAGTAATACTTTTCTGCTGTGAGCAGGGCAAAAAAGGAAAAAGGAAACAAATATGCTAAGTGAAAGAAGTCACGAAAAGGTCAAACATTGGATGATTCCATTTGGGAGGATCATCCAGAATGAATAAATCCATGGAGACAGAAGGTAGGCTTGTGGTTCCTAGGGAGGGGTTGTGGGAGGGAGGGGGTGGAGGAGAGTCCCCACTGACGGGTGAGATTTCTCTTGGGATGGCCGTGGTGAAAATGTTCTAAACTCAGACAACCATGTTGGCTGCACAGCTCTATGGCCATACTAAAAGCACCTGAATCGTACATTTTAAAAAGGTGAAGTTTACGGTTGTTTAAACGATATCTTAATAAAGCCGCCATTTTTTAAGTGAAATGGATAGTCATGTCCTGCTTTAGGCAAACTTACTAAAATCAATTTTTGAAAACCGTAAAAATTATGATAATAGATTGTTTTAAGAAAAACAGCCCTGGGTACCCGAATTGTGCAGCAGTGTGACTGGATGGGAGGGGACGATTCCAAGCCAACGGGATCCCTGGCAGCGGGGGGCCGAGGTCTTGGATGATGCCCAGAAGCCAGGCTTGGGTGGAGGCGGAGTGTGCCCTTGACAGCTTCAGAAAAGAGAGGCAGATGTAGGGGTGCTTGTTCAGCTGCACGTCTGTTTCCTCTTTCCTGGCCTCCCACCCCCCCTTCGCACTGTACCCTGTCCGGGGTCAGGACCAGGCCCCACTCGCCTCGGGATCCCCAGCACCCAAGCTGGTGCCAGCACAACTACGGGTATTGTTCGGCTCAGGAAATGTGGTGAATTAATGAAGGGACAAAGTGCCTTACAGTGGCCCGGCCGGGGCAGTAGGCGCGCCCCGTCTGGCCGCGGGATTTTGGAGGTGG